CACCAGGGCACGGCACAGCCCAGGAGCAGAGGTGAGTGGGGACAGGCGGAGCCCAGGTGCAGGGGGACAGGCAGAGCATGGTGCAGCCCAGCAGTTGTAGGCAACTGGCGCTGGCTGCTCCTGGGGCCACTGCAGGTGGGGTTGGGGTGAGTGCCACTCTGGCCCCTCTGCTTGCTGCCTTCTGTAGCCCCGGGAGCGGCACCCCTCCCCTGCCGCTTCTCTAGGCCCAATCTCACTTCCTGCCTTCTTCCCTCACCGCCATGGGAACCTTTTCCTATTTGTTACATTATAAAGTGGGTTTGCTTTATGCACATTTGATTTATGCACCGTTCTCCGGGAACGCTTGTACTGCATAAATTGGGGGAAACCTGGATACTGTAGATGGAAAACTGTTTGTACTTGGAATCAAAAAACAAGGTGTAGTATGACTTTGTATGTAAAAACTTGATTCTATCAAACTAAGATAAATGTGATCCCCATATTGTCATAAATATTCCTGTATAATTTATGTTCTAGAAGAATTTACCATGTATACTTAAATGCAAGACGAGGTTTCTTTCTCCCCCAACTGGCATGGGAGAAAAAGACCCTTGTCTTATAATCCCTAGGGGCCTACCAAAACTGTGATCGCATGTTTTTCATGGAAAATGCGAAATCGGGCAAGCTCTGCGAAATATGATGGCAAAAAACACAAACAAAAAACTTACAAGCAGAGAAAAGGGTGGGGATTTCTGTAATCTTGGAGTACAGGGGGCTGGAGGCGGGTGCTGGCTGCTCATAGCAGGAGGCAGGGAGGCTGCACATAGCTGCACTGGCATTCAAGATTGCACATGTGCACCTGCTTCCAGTAACAAGTTGGGCCAGGGCTCCGTGGATCCTGGTGCAGCTGCCTCATTTGGCCCAGGCTTAGGCTCTGGGCATGCCTCTGCTGCTGTCTACGGCAGTGTTTTCCAACCTTTAACAGCCCAAGGCACACTTAAATTAATAAAAATTTTCCGTAGCACACCTGCTAAGGCATTCCCCATCCTCATACATATTGTAGCTCATTGCCATGGCAAAATTCCGCTGCACACTTGCTCATCTGTGATGGCACACTTTTGTGCCACAGCACACTGGTTGGGAAACACTGGTCTATGGAAACTGGGTTGGCTGTGGCAGGCATTGTGGAGGCTGCAAGCAGCTGCACCAGAGACCATGGAGCCCTGGCCCAGTTCATTGTGCCTTGGGGTGGGCGGAAGGGATCAAGATGGGGTGCACCCACTACTGGCAGTGAGCTGGGCTGGGGCTCCATGGACCTCAGTGTAACTGCTGCCTGCCAGAGCTGGCCTGGGACGCTGATGCAGCTGCTTGTGCAGCCTCCCCACTTGGGGTTGGCTTGAAGCCATAGTTTAATTACTTTGATTAAGCCTGGGAAAGCCATTAATCCACACTTAATGTATGTTGCCACCAGTCATGGGAAAAGTTTATAAAAAATGTAACTAGTTCAAGTTAAAAGTTAGCAGCCTTTAAAATTAATGTGAGTTAAGTTAAAGTTAAAGATTTCCACTTTCAACTAGCTAAAAAGTAAGTTGATTCATGAGAAATGTGTGAAACACGGTGAATTGCCTCTTAGCATCATTTTTCATTTTCAAATGCAATGAGTGGGTTTCTTTTCTATAAGCCCACAGAAGCACACTAATTGACTCGGAACTCACCTTGCTTTACCTGAAAACAATGTTATACTTGTCATAGTTTTCAGAATAACAATTTACTGATACCTATGTAATGTTAGATCCTTCTCACTCTCTCCATGTGAAGTACTTTGTAAAAGTCAGTGCATCATATAGGTATACCAGAAAAACAGGAAGGAGATTTTCATAACCAAGTGACAAACGAAAGCTGTTTCCATGGAAAACCTCTGTTATTACAATTTTTACCGTTCAAAAGGTAACAAAAGGGGAAGAAATACATCTGAATTAGAAATAATGTAAGTGTCTGAAAGTTAAAGTTAGACTGAAATGAGAAAATCAGTTTAAATGAGAAAAGAATGTTCAGTTGCTTAGCAGAAGTTGTTTAAATGTGCTTATCGAACTTCACCAAAAGCTGCATTTCAAAATTTACATCTGACAATTTTCCTTTTCTGTCTTGCAAAACTAAGCCCCCACTACTGAACAGTCGCTCTACATGGGCAGATGAGGGAATGCTTGTGTTATAACGGATGAATAATTTTTTCATAGTAGGTGATATCTCAGATAAGTTTCTCACACATGAGAAGTAATGCGCAATTTCTTGGGCCCTAGGCTGCTGGTTCTGATTGTCATTAAAATTAAAAAAGTCATTATCTGCTTCACCCTCACTACTTGCTCCCGCTCTTACTGGGATCAATGTCTATGCTTGCTTGTGCTTGTTCCCTCTCCTGCAGCCAACTGGCTGCCCTATTGACTTCCGCAAATGCACAGAAAATGCCAATATGAACTAAGGAACTCTGGGACTTGTAGTTCTTAAGAGACCATATCTCATAGGAAGGTGCACTACTCTCTCTCTCAAACAAGAAGTCCTAGAGTTTCAATAAAGAAATATCATTCCATGTAAGTCCTAGAGAGTGGCTGTGTCAGGAAAAACTCTGGGAAAGCGAAATTTAATTTTTTTAAAAAACTTTTAACTTACACTTTAAACTAGTTAAAGTTAAAAGTTGACAGCTGAAAAATTTAACTAGTTAAAGTTAAAAGTTAGCCATTTCTTTAAATTTTTAACTTTTTAAATAGTTAATTCCCATGACTGGTTGCCAAATTTTTTCCAAGAACTTGGATTTAGATTGTTTTACAAGTCAAGATACTACTTCACATAAAATCTGATCTGTAGAAAGCCAGTTTCTCACAAAATGTTTTTGTAATATAAAATTTAAAAAGTACATTAATTTTGACCTAACTGGGAATTCTGACTTGCTAAAGAACTTTAATACTCAGTATGCAAACAATGAAGGGCAAGGTAACCGATCCTTTTTATGGTAAAGAAATCTTTATTTTTTGATGGTTAGTTATCACAAGAAGTAGATCTGTGGTTTTAAATATAGATACTTTGTAAGAACTCCGGGTTTTTTGTCTGCTCCTTTTGGTAGTATATGATTGTCTTCCTCTTACTTGCTGATGCCTCAGTGGCCTGAAGTAGTTATCCTTGTTATAAGGGCCACAAATTCGTCAAAGGTGACTTTGCCATCTTTATTTGTGTCAAATGATTTAATTATATTATCAAGAGAGAATGCCCCCTGTTATTTTAATAAGAAAAGAAATGAAAGAAAGAAAATAAGTAAAAAAAAATAAATTGCTTACAGAAGCTACTTGATAATAAATATTTCTACAAAGCAAGCTCTAAATTAACATTACTAGGAAGATGTTGCTGCTAACATGGTATCGATCAGCAAAGGGGCGTTATTTTACTGACTAACCTAGAGCTCCACAAACAGCTCATGTTAGGAACAAAGACATATCAGTACTTTGAACAACATGATCCATAAATAAACTTTTGATTTTCTGGCCCTGTAGTTATGAATGCTACTATAAAAAAAATAAGAGCAGTCCTATGAAACAGTTAAAATTCTCTGTCCTACTATTCAAATATCCCCACCTGGAAGAGCTAGAGGAACTATTGTAAACAAACATGCACAAGATTTTCAAACAGACTGTTTCACTAAGGCTTCTTTGTGAGTAGGTTTTGTACGACATAGGTAAATTTAGTCCTAGTTATATCATGGAAATGAGAACAAATGGGTGAAAAAGCAGCTTGCAAGCTTGCTGAGCTACAATAGTCACCATCAGAAGTGAATCATATACTACATAATGATTTGTGAGGATCTGACCCAAAGCTTCCTGATATCAGTTGAAAAGCTCCCATTTACTTCAGTGGACTTCACATTAGGCACTCAGAGAGCTTAGTTTTCCTGTTTGTAGATTACTGCATCTGTCCTTTGGTTGCAAAACTTCCAGCTTATTAAATCTCACTAAAAGCACCAACACCTTTCAGTTCAGTGTGGAATGAAAGTGCGTGTGGTGTTTTAGTGTAAAGAGTATTCTGAAATCATTCTTGGGTATTAGACAGGTTTATGAAATAATATAAACCTCATCGTGATAGTGATGTAAACCTTCCTGTTGATCTTTTCACTTGCATTGAAGTAGAAAATAAAGTACATGTTGTATTATACTCTCTTTCACTTTATATCCATCTATTTCAGTATCAACCAACTTGCACATTTCTGCAAATAGCAAACGCTAGAAAATAGTGAATATCTAAACTGCAAATAGAAAACATCAATCAGACTTTGGTAAAACAAAAAACGATCAGGTAAATCTAGATATATTTTTCTCCAGTGCTGAATCGGGTACAAATAATATCAAAATGCTTCAGTAATAAAGCATCCTTTTGGACTTTCAATCATGCATTGCCTATTCACTTTTAATATTAAATAAATTACAACTAAATGTAGTGGTTGCTGTTTGAAAGGAAATACTTTTATGTGTTTTATGAGATTTTCTTCAAGCAAAATTGTTTCTACCAGAAATTGTAAAATATTTTTTTCTAACTAACCTATTTTAGTGAGTCCAGCCAAACTGCACTCTTGTTCATAAAGTACTGGGATTTCCACAGAGGTGAATTCAGGCCTTTGCAGATACTGATTCACATACCCATAAATAGCTAATAGTTTTTTGTCCACCAAAGGAAACTATATAGAGTTGTACTGAAATCAGAATCCAGAGTCAGTCATTTCTCCAAACCTGAAATTTTCCAATGGTGTTATGTAGACATTTCTCCAGCTGAAATTGAAAATGTCTCCTTGAATCCAGATGTGTCATGTTCCTACAGAAAATCTTATAAATTACATAAAGAGGTTTTCTCATTTATAGTCTGGTGGTGAGCTTCTTGCTCACATTGGAAATAATTGCTCATGGATGTGACCTTTAGGTAATGTTTATTGCTGAACACAATGAGATTCCATTGGAATATAACAGGGTGCTTGCAGAATCCTGACCTCTGTGAACATTTTCTCACCTACTACATATGGAGCACAGCTGATAATATTGGGAGCATGCTTACCTTCAGATATTCTGCAAATTGATTTTGAAGCAAGCTTTTTAATCCACCAATGGACAGTGCGCTCATACTACCCTCCTTCAAAGCATACTCGGTGAAATATTTTAAAAGATTTTCTTTGACCATGTAGTCCATATTTCTATATAGATATTATTAAAGAATATCTGTGAAAATAAAGCATACAAACCATAAGGCCTTCTATTTGAATATATGAAGGGGAAAAATCCGTGATCTGTTTCATTCCACATATTAAGAGTTCAGTGGGGAAGTAGTTGGTAAGGTATAAAAGATGTTTACTTATGAATTAGAAATTATTATATTAGCAAACCAGTTATCAACACCTAAAAATACTAGACTCCTCATACAGCTGAAATAGCTTGTAGAAATGTAGGTTTCTGATATTTATTGCAGCTGACTGGTAATTACCTCTCTAAGCTGGATAGCACTGAATAGGTAATACTTACCTGCCATCACACAGGTAAAGGGCTTTTTGTTTTTATATATAGCAGCTACAACCCACTTTGAGAAGAACATGCTAAATTAACATGAAAGATTTTAATTGCATAATATATTTATATTATACTTACCCGAGTCACAAAATCCAGAACAACTAAAATAACCCAGCAGAAGTGAGAACCGTGGGGCTGGGGCTAGCCTTTATAGTCCTTTCAGGCTCTGACTCAACCCTGATTGTGGAATGCTTCTCTAGTCATTAAAACAATACCTTAATTTTAATGCTCCAATAATGGGAGGTGCTGCTCGACACTTTGACAAAAGACTAAATTAAAAAATTGTACACCAAAGCTGTATCATAAACCCATGTTCACCTGTTTTATCCAAGTTTTCTAGTTCCTACAGGCTTTTCTGTGCAGGATTGCCCTCCCCCTTCCCCCGTGAAATGTGTTTGTTAATTTGCTGCACCCAGTCTAAAGAAGGCTTGCAAGAGGGAGAGTGTGATTATGAGTGTGAATATGTATCGAACATTTTTGTTTCCAACCCTTAGCATGCAACATTTTTTTCTATAAAATGCATTCTTTCTCCTGAACTAGCAAAGTGTAGATGAGATGTAGAAGTACAGGTTTTGGAGAAGATAGTTAACACCCACAGCACAGTGTAAAAAGCTCTCTGTCAGCAATACATATCTGATTTTTATTATTTTTTATTTTAATTTTGTATTGATGGTTCTTTAGAGTACACAGATAGGATTGTATCTCAATTTATATAAATAGTTTAAGAAGAAAAATGAATAAGGTACTGAAAGCCAGTATGCTGCTTATCAGCTCATTATAACTTCATATAGATTAGCTTTCCTGGTACTTCCCCACATCTCAAACTGATTTATGAGCTCTGCTGTCTTCCCTGAAGATAACAGAACAATACTCATCTTCTGTTTCTACCTTCTGCTCTTCCCCCCAGTGAGAGACACAGCAGGTCCCAACCTAAACTCTGCTTTGTTTCAGTGACTACCTGTAGTAGTAACTATAGTGGTCATAGCTTTCCCTGGTGTACCTGAGATTGAGAGGCTGTGAGACAGGCCCAGGGGGTACTAGTCTTGGCATGGAGAGCTAGGATTCCAATCCTGCCATGCCAATATGCATCTTCAATACCTTTCTTTATTTGTGAATAAAATATGTTTCTGTTCTGTTGAGGATTTCTTTCCAAGGGGATGCTTGCTCAAGACTGCTAAAACCTTGTCTGGTCTCTGAGAGTACCCCTTGAAGCCAGGCTAGGCTTGGCTTCCAGAATGGGGGGGACTGAGCTCTTTCCCACTATGAGGCCCCAGCCTTGTAGTCCCTCACTCTCCTTGGTTCTTTGTGACCCTGACCCAGGGACCTAGCAACCAGTTCCACTCCTGAGGTTGACACATGTCAGTGCAACCCATAGTTTCAAGCAGCACAGTCTTTTCTAGTAAAGACATTTATTGTGGCAAAGGCCACCGAGCCAAATGTTCTCTGTCCCCTCTAAAGGGGTTAAGCAGTCCTTTTGTCCCCAATTAAGCAGTCCGTTTGTCCCCAGTCCAGGTGCACAGCTCTGAACACCCCCAAACATACTGTTACCTTCTAGTCTTTTCTAGCTCCTCAGAGCTTTTCCATCTTCTGTGTCCCTCAGACTGTTTTGGCCCCAGACCTACCAGACTGCTTTTTGTAACCTGCCCTCCTTTTTGTCACATTTATCTCCCCTGGATGCCTCCTTGGTGTAGGCCATCTCACCTTTGTTGATATGCCAACACAGCCACTCAAGACTGCTGATGCTGATGGTACATTTCAACTTTCCTGTAGCCAGCCCTAGCTTTTTACCCTTCCTTCTCTGTGTGCAGACTAAGGTGGTAACCTGAGTCATACAGTATTATAACAGCAATATGAATACAGTTGTTATAAATATCACAATAAAGCAAGTAGTCTATCACATGTGCACCAAAGGTTTTTTGTTCTTCTTGAAGATCTAGTTGCCTTGCAAGTTCTAAACTTGAACTATTTTGAGGAATCCCAGTACAGAAAACTAGGTGTTTGCGGCTTTTTTTTAGGACTTTTTTTTAGGGACACATTTTTTCATGGTCCTATAAATTAAATAAAGCACAGTCAGGTTTTATTTAATTTCTGTCTCTTCCCTCTGCTAAAAATTACCTTTGGGCTAAGGTTTTATATCCAAAAGTAATATTCCTGTTAGTTATGAGAGTGAATGAAGAAGCAGCCCAAGATTCTCAAACAGGTCACTTTTCTCTCTGTTTTATTAAAATATAACACTAATAACATTTTTAAACAGCAAAGTGTTTAGTATTTGAGAAAAGAACTAATACAAAAACATAGTGCATGTGTGTAAGGAGACTGAATGGAGGTTGTACAGTCAAACTTGATTTTGAAGAGTCCTAAGTTTTAAATGTTCAGCTTTGCACTCTTTTTCATGCAATGTTTTGTGTGGCATAACGTAGTATAATTTGTTTGTCTCTTGAAACCTTTGAGATCTCACTTCTGTGACTTACATAAACTCTGAACATTACTCTTATGAATAAGCCCACTGACTTCAAGTGTGACTTCTCATGTACAGAAAGTTAAAAACACATGTGTAGGTCTTTGGGGGATTACAGCCTAGTGGGTCCCTTGTAGTGCCAAGTGGACAGGTGATTACCTACATAAGATTGTATCTGTGGGCAGCAGGTTTACTACAAGAACAACATGACAAGTAGGTTTAGAGTGGATTTATAGTAGTTATTTATTTATTTATTTATTTTTACTGGAATTGGGTTTTACAGCCCAAAAGCTTTGGAGAGAGAGCGAGCATTTTCTGAACTGTTTTGGAAGTTAAGGTTTGTGGGTTGTTTTTTTTCATTGTTGCATCAGTGTTGGTCAAAAATTAGTTGTTAAAGACTAAAGTTGTGTACAAGGCATACAAACTTAAGGCACAACCTAACCAAAGAGCTGATGTTATGTTTAAAGGTCACAACCAGCAGCAGGCTTGCAAGGCTAAGGACAGTATATACATATTGTATAAAACAGTCATGGGCCACAGAATTCAGTAAACAGACAAGGCAGACACAGGATGGGAGAATGGAAGTATGTTTTACAAATGGAAAACAGTTGCACTGACAGATTATTCCTGTTTGACCATAAGAAAATTACATAAAGCTTGAGAGTAAACCTAAAGTATAACTTAAGATCAGTTTGGTGCCTTAACCCCAAGACCATTCTTCATCTTGTAACAGATGTGCCAAAACAGTTGCACAGAGCTAGGACTAGAACTCAGGTCTTGCAACTTTCACTCCTGACCCTTTGGTACTAGACCACGCTCCTTTTCTAAGGACTCACCTGCCATCACACAGGATGCCTCAGAACCAAGGATAGGGTCTGGTTCTCCAAGGTCCGAAATTACTCTCTTTAGCTGCAGAATTACCCCATGGAATATGACTGAAACACTAAGGTAGGCACAGACTTTATCTTTCCACAACAACTCGGGCATTGGCAATAGGGAGCCTAGCAGTTAAGAAACTTGGTTCAATATCCTGATCCAGAGGTCACTGTTATGAAACAAGAGCACAGAAATTTGTATCACAGTTGCTTATTAATAAATCATGTATTACTATAAAATTTGGGTCAATAGTAATGAAAAATAGTACTTAGTATCAAATCTTTACTCATATACCTGAACAAACTGACCTCTCACATGGAGGCAGCTGTTCCAACCCAGTTGTGATGTTTGCAACCCATGTGTGATGCATGGGAGATTAAGGATGCTGGTATATCTGCATTTTATTAGCTTGTTCAGACTGCTTTGTGGCCAATAAACCATGCTAGCAAGGTCCGTGGTGTCTAAATATCTATATGGTGGTGATGTTGTAGTGTGGAAACAAGACCACAAAAGAGCTGGGTTTGTGATACACTTGTAGTTGATTTGGAGATGCATACAAAGTTCACACAGATGTCCCTGAAATTACTACAAGCCTCATGCACTTTCCAGACTTACCTGTATGCAGATTAAAAATTAATTTTAAATTGGATGTTTTTGTCAGTGATCCCCAGGAAACTTATTTGATAAACTATTTGCAGACAACAAATACAAAAGTTGAGGAAACACAGGTTATGTCTACACACCTGTCAAAAGTGGACTGCAGCTTTGGTGCTGATGGCAACAGCATAGAAGCCTTGTGCAGACTAACCCCATCTCCAAGTATTTCCTCAGGTTCTCCAGCAGACTTTGTAGCCTGCTCTGAACTCCTTGCAGCCATTGTTGCCCAATTATCAGCGTCCAACCAGCTAAGTAAAAATTATCTCAGTTACTAGAGCCACTGTCAGACCTTGACTGCAGCTTTGGAAAACTTGTAAGTACATTTGATTAAGAATTTGAAGATATGTTTGTGGAGATCTCTAGGGTTTTTGTTGTTGTTTTGTGTTTAACGTTCATTCATTTTTATTCCATCGTGTGCAGCTTGGTCATATTCAATGCCTTTCAGAGTATAAAGGATGTAGTCACTTATAGCTAAGGAGGTGTTTTATTATTTTGGTGGTATAGATGGACTGGTTGCCTTCTATGACCAGGTCACAAAATCCTTGGACGCAGGTGTCACAGTGGACGTAGCCTTTCTGGACTTTAGGAAGGCCTTCGACACTGTCTCTCACCCCATTCTCATTAAAAAATTAGGCAACTGTGGTGTTGATGCCTACACAGTCAGATGGGTTGCAAATTGGCTGGAGGACCACACCCAGAGAGTGGTGGTGTACGGGTCATTTTTGACTGGGAGGGATGCGGGCAGTGGGCTCGGTCCTCGGGCCTGCACTGTTCAACATCTTCATCAGCAACTTGGACGCGGAGGTGAAACATACCTTGTTCAAGTTCGCGGGTGACACTAAGATGTGGAGAGAAGTGGGCACGTTAGAAGGAAGGGACAGGCTACAACTAGATCTGGACAGGTTTCAAGGGTGGGCGGATGAGAGTAGGATGGGATTCAATACTGACAAGTGCAAGATACTGCACCTGGGGAGGAAGAACCAGCACCATACCTACAGGCTGGGGAACTCCCTTCTTGTCAGTGCAGAGGCAGAAAAGGATCTTGGAGTCAATATTGATTCCAAGATAAACATGGGCTGCCAATGTGAGGACGCGGTCAGTAAGACTAACCACACTTTGTCATATATCCACAGATGCATCTCAAGCAGGTCCAAGGAGGTGATTCTCCCCCTCAATACAATGCT